AGTTCGGATCGTAGTGGTTCCTGGACGGAAGCACCGATTTGAAGCGTCCGAGTTGGGTCTGTTGTTGAGGTCGGGATTGTGACTGTTTCTTTCGTGGGCGCGACTTGTTCTTCGCCTTGCTCCGTAGGCCGCTCCAGCTCAAGTTCGTCGGCTACCTTGGTCTTTCCCTTCAGGGCGGCGACATAGCACTTGCGGGACTCGAGCTGGTTGCCCCGCGCTACCCCCACACCAAAGTCTGTTGGAAACTTCATAGCCAAATGATAGGTGGAGACCACCGCCCGTAGGACATGGGTGATCGGCCGGCCTATTATGGCATTGTATGGGAAGGGGGTCGCGACCACCAGAAAGTCGTGGCTGAGTCTGACTACGCAAGGCCATGTGCCGACTTCCACAGGTACTGTTATTTTCCCAAGGGGCCGGACTTCTTCTCCGCTGAAGCCCACCAAAGGAGTGTCCACAGGCTTCAAGTCACTTCTATGCAACTGAAGCTGGTCGAACGCAACTTTGAAGAGGATGCCGGCCGAGTCAACGAGTACGCGCCTGACCTCGAAGTCGTTGATCCTCAGCTTTATCACGAGTGCGTCATCGTGGGGGGTAGTGGACCCTTCGCGCATCATCTTCCATGAAGAAAATTGGCCCTTCTGTCCTCGGCCGCTTCGGAGGATTCTGTTCTTCACGGGCGGCTTCACGAACTGATGTCCGAGCTGCTGTTGAAGTTCAACCCGCGACGATCGAACCTCCCACTATCATGTGGATGGTGTCCCAAACCGACCTCTCTTCCGGAGGCTACCTCTGCGACTGTTCGGTCGGCCTGCTGCTGGACTCGGGAGCATCCTTACCATGCTCCCCTTGTTGACATGTTTTATTACTATTATTATTATTTTGTACAAAGTTCCTTAGATATCTGCGACGGATGAGCTCCTCAATCTCGTCGCGGAGGTTTTCACAATTTTCGGTACTATGACCGTGATCTCTGTGAAAACTGCAGTACAGATTCTTATTTCTCTCACTGGTATTTCCCCTCAAACGGGGTGGCCACTTCACATACGGGGCGTCCTTGATCACCATCAGAATTTCGGCCCGCTTCGCGTTCAGTGGGGTGTAATTAGTTTAGTCCACCAGAGGAGCTCGGAACGACTGACCCGACTTTGCTCCCCGAGCTGCTTCTTTTTTCTTTTGATTGTCCCCTTGGCCAGAAGGCTCTCCTTCCCTTTTCCGCAAGCTTAAGAAACTCGGTTATGGTCGCCGGTTGGTTGACGACCATGTGCCATTTGAACTCTTTATGCGTCACACCTTTCTTGGCTGCTGTAAGGCACACGGCGGGGTCCAGGCGCGGTATCTGCATGCACGCATCGTTGAACTGCTTGATATAGCCCCGGATAGACTCTCCCTCTCTTTGCACTATGTTGAGAAGGCTTTTTTTAGTTCGCGGGCACCGCTTGCTAGTGACGAAGTGGGACGTGAAGGTTTGCGCGAATTGCGCCCAACTTCTTATCGACCCAGGTGCCAAGTTCCGGTACCATGTATGGGCTACTCCTCTGAAAGTGGTGGAGAAGGCCACACACATGCACGACTCGCTGGCTCTCGCCAGGTGCATCTACGACTGGAAGGCATCTACGTGATCATTTGGGTCAAATGACCTGTCATACTTGTCAAGAGGGGGGAGCTTGAAGTCTTTAGGCATTGGGACTACCAGGAGTTCGGAAGATAGGGGGATGGAACTGAGAGGAGGGGAGCTTTGACTTCGACCGAGCTTACCTCTTCTTTGCCCCCGAGCTCGAGCAAATCGCGGGTGACAGATCGGCGAGCTCGGCGGCGGCGTCTCTGCTTCTTGGTGGGCTCGGCGTTCGTGCTGCTCACCTCTGCACTGTTCAGAATGGTTTGTGCGGGAAGTAGCCCGGTCCGCTGGTGACGGTTGCGGATGGAGGGATCCTGCTTGGAGTCTGCTGCCAGGATCTCAAACCGGTTCTCAAGGAGCGGGGTTTCAAACTTCGACTGCCGAGGTGATGTAGACCTGGCGAGCTGGGGTCCTCCCGACCTGTCCGCCCGCGGCGAGACCGGGGTAGCCGACTTCTCTTGTCTGCTGCGGGAGGAGGCCTGGTTTTTAGGAGGGTTTTGGGGGGCCTCTCCTTGGCCAGAGGGGCACTCGTCCTGGCGGCGAGACCTAGCTTGCTGGGAGGCTGGGTGCCGAGGCGGGAGTTGCGGCTGCTGAAGCTGAGGTTGAGGCAGCTGAGGGAACTACTGCTGGTAATGGTACTGGGAGACGTGGTGCAGCACTTGCTGCTAGTAGAGCTGGTGTTGCTGGAGCTGCTGCACTTGGGCTTGCATGGCCCACATGCACTGCATCAGGTCGTCGAGCTGGCTCTGGCTGGTCGCCAGAGGAACAACAGTCGGTTCAGAAAAGGTCATTTCTACAAAGGATGGAAGGGGAGCACCCATAGGCATCGTTGCTCGTGGCACGTTCAGGCTGGGGACTTCGTCCACCGAGAGAGGAATGGTGAACTGCCCTATGCAGACCATGGGAGCCTGGGGTTGTTCCCCGGAGTTATCCATCTCCATGCTTCGTCCGACGTTGCTTGAGGAAGCCATGAGTGTTGAGTTTTTTTTTTTTTTTAAAGGAAGAAAGAACTGTGAAGGTTTAGAGAAAGGCCTTTTGAAGCGTTTTCCACAGACGGCGCCAAATGATGGTGCGCAATCCGGTCACTCCTAGTTGGCACTCGCATGGCTTCCCAAGAAGTACCTGAGATGAGGAAGAAGAAGAATCCTCGGGGGGTTCGCCCGGCGGGAACGCTTCGACGATTAAGTCAGTATTTTGAGTAAGAAGCAAAGAGAAGATAAAAACTAAGAGTGAGGTAGCGCAAGAGATTTCAAGATGATACCTTCGTTCCTTGATACTAGCTCCTTATAACAGAAATCCGTTGTATCAGGCCCACAAGCCTCTGATAGGGCGGGTATAACCGCCACTGTCAGCCTGCCGCAGCTGTTACTGGCAGGGCTGAGGTGGCACGAGCGGGGCCGTCGCCGCAGTGTACGTGCCTGTCAAGTGTAAGGCACCCTCTGGGGGTAGCAAACATGACGTTGTCTGACGAGGGATATGGCCACTGTTCCCAGATTTGTCGGGTACGGTGGTCGGCAAAAGGTCTTCCTGTGTTGTGACAGACTATCCTTCCGCGAACTACCCTGTGTCGGGTTATCCCGTAAGCGGCGTGCTGCCTGTGGCAAGCTATGCCGAGCTGGCTGACCCGAGGTGTCTATACCTCGGGGTGTCCAGAGATGGGTTGGTGCGTTCCTGTTTGGGAGTGGCCCGAGGTCCATTGGGAGGGGCTCGGGCCTCAAGAGAGGTCAGGGTACCCCGGACTTGGGGCGCCCCGAAGTGCCTTAACCTCGGGGATGAGGTGTAGGTAAGGTGGCTCCTGGCGAGTATTTTATCCGTCCAGTTGTCGAGTTGAACTCGGTGGGACCTTCCCTCCGAGTTGTGGTTGCATTCGTTGCGCTGTCATGCTGAGTCACTGTTTGAGTAGGGTCACGCCCATGTGTACTTGTGCTGTGAGGTCGGGCCAAATCACCCTCCATCAACACTAATGTGGCACTGTTTCTTGAGGAAAGAATTCACAAGCCCATGAAGGTGGCACCATTTTTTGAAGAAATGGCCATGGTACCAAACATGTCCACGTTTACAAACCCATGGATTGATGAAAGGATGGCATGACTCAATTAAGGGGGTGTTTTGTAGTGTGGATGAGAAATTGATGGGTGTGGATTAGTCCACACCACATCCTGTGGTAGGGATCAATCCACACCACACCACAGTCCATAATTGTTTTGAACTGTGAATAGACTGTGTGGAGGGTGGACCGGATTAATTCACATTCACGGTGGTGTTTTGTAAGTGTGGTGTGGATTCCATGTATCTCATATACGTTCTAGGGGAAATCTAAAATCTACATAGGCGATCATAAATATCTAACCTTTGCATTTTATATGGTAAATAAATTGAAAAAAGACATCAATAAATTAATATGTAGGCAAGAATTGCATTTTTTAAATAATTAAAAAAATATTATTTTAAATATTAAAAAATCATATTTTATTGATGAAAATATTAAAATTAATATTTAAATAATAAAAAAAAAGAGTGGAAAAGGAGAACCATAGGACTTGTGCTCGAATTAACATTAAAAATTATTATTTTATTGATAAAATATTAAAAAATATTAAAAGATTAAATAAAATGAGAGTAATTGGACTAACGTAACACAGGTGCGTTATAATAAAACCTTTCCACAAACTGTTCACACCATAGTTGGACCATCCACGAGAAAATACTGTGAAGATAAATTGGGGTGTGGTTTATCTATATTCATGCTATTTTACGGATGGGGAGTGTCCATACAGCAGAACACCATATCTTATCGCGAACAGAACCAAAACGGTCCCATCCAAATACACAAGACAATGACAATATAAAATGTTGAAAATCCTAAGAAATACATAAACCCATTTGAAAAATAAAAAGCCTATGATACTAGAAAAATATGGTTTCAAAAGAGCTTTGACCAATCAATGCATCTTGTGAATATGATGAATATCACATGAAAAGTCATTTTTTTTATGATACAGGTTGATTCTATCTGCAATCATGTCTTTTAATATCATAATAGAATCAAAATCTAGGAATAAATAGACTGTAGTCCCCCTCAAAAATCTGAAATTGCAGGCACTTCCTAGTCTATTAATCGCCCCCCTATAAACTGCATCTTACCCATAAATTTAGCATCAATCCATGGCCACAATTCATTCCACCCCTAAGGTGGAGCTCTAGGGGTGGACTGAATAGTTAAAACCCCCAGAATCTATTTGAAAAATTCATAACAAAAATAAAAAATGATTTTGTTTCTTTGAATATTCCTACAAATTAATACGAAATTACGAATATTATCATTTGGTTATATACCTAGTTCATTCTTACTTGATTTCTTTTTTTTTTATTTATTTTTCAGAATTGAAAAGAAGGAAAAGACTTTAGTTTGATTGGATTTTGGAAGGACTTTTAGAGAAGTACCGATCAGTGGACTCAGAGTTTACTAGCTACGAAGTACAGAGGAAATGCATCCTGACCGTGAATTGATACTAAATTCACGAGCAGTATGTCGTTTATAGGGGAAAGAGGGTTAATTGTAGGGGGTGGCTGGAATTCAAAATTCTGCATCGTGTGTATTCGTACTTTTCCCTTCAGTAGAGCCTTCTGGATGACCAAACATCCTGAGCGTCAACACGTGATTATGTTTCTTTCTTTAATAGAAAATGAAAACTATTGAATTATTAATTATATAATTACACTGATCAGTCATTCTCCCACCCAATAAAATACGCTTAAGGGTCATGTGATTACGTCAGCATGAGAAAAAAAATCTCAAATACTATATTATATTGGTTAGGTGTCATCCAAGTTCACTTTTGATACGACGCGGTTTTAGCTTTTAGTTTTCGGTTCAAAGTTCACTGCACTGGACCTTTGATGTAGTACCATGGGCCCCATCGTGAGTCGTGACGTCTTGATGGGGCCACTCTAAAGCATCGAAGGCCATGATATTCCGTTTTAGCCATGTGCCACGAATTCTCATTCTATGGTCGAGTCCGGCTTTGACTAACAACCTTTACAGCTTTATGTTGGGAATATCTCCATACTTATAATAATCTTTATAGCTTTATGTTGGGAATATCACCGATCATGTAATTTACTTTTATAAAAAATAGACGTAAACTAAAAGTTGATGTGAGAACTTGTTTGGCAAAATTCTATTTAAAGATGGATACTCGTAATGGACCGAATGGTCACAGAATGTGTTCTACGCTATCTGTTTGGTTGCGAGAAATAGTGGGATGGGATAAGAAAAAAAAATTTATTTTCTCATTTTGGCATTCTATGTTTGGTTGCTGAAACTAATTATTCTACAAAATTTATTTTTCAATTTCCAATGTTTGATTGTTGAGAAATTTTTGTAAGATGCTTGATTTCATTCCTATTCAACCATTAACAACAGTGGAACATGAACATCCATGATTGTCTCCAAGTTCCCCCTTCAACCATGATACATGATGATGACAGAAGTTTTCTGCAATAATAAATCGTTCTACTTAAGCAGAGGTTCAATGATAGCAAATCTGCAACGATGGTGATGGCCAAGAAATCTAACCAATATATTATAAAAAAAATTACAAACTTGTTAGACCTGCAACGATGAAATCTACCAATATTTGGTTATCGAAAGGCTAAGAAACCACGAATGGGAAGAAAAGCAATGAAGTTTTAGAGAAAAAAAAATACAGAAAATAGTTTACCAGAGAGAAATGTAGCATGGATAAGTCTTCGTTGGAGATGAAGAACAGTGATTGGACTCTTTGGCGCTTGGGGTTCTGAAGCTTAGCTAGGAAGAAAAACAATGAGGTTTTTGAGAAAAAAAATACAAAAAGAAAAGGTTCAATGAAAGAAAACGAAGGAGATTCAATGTCCTCACCAGAGATTAAACACCCTATCGATAGAATCTGAACCTCGACTTGGAAGATAACCGATAATGAGTTTTCAGAGAAAAAAATACAAAATGACCAAAAAATGTGAAACAAAGATGGAGATGGTGAACGGAGGTCTTAGATTCGTTAGAGGTGAATAAAACAGTGGTTGGAGATTTGATCGTAGGGACATGTGAATGGAGACGTCGCCTTCGACAGTGGTTGGAGGTGAATGGAGATGTTGCCTTCGACATTTTTTTCTTACCGACTTCTCATTGTTTTCGTTTCTCACCGGGGTTACACCGTGTCTCTACTTTAAGTTTTTATCCCATCCTATTGTTTCGACTAAAACAAACGAGAGAAAATAAGAATTTTATGCGAATATTCCTATTTTCTCGTTCCGGTCGCGACAACCAAACATACCATGAAAGGGAAAGGGAACTCGTTTTCATGTTTGGTGGTCAACAGAAAATTCTGAATCCAAAGAGGATTTTAGCATACTTCTTCTGCTTTGGGTTAAGACCCTGAATCACGGCCTTCGATTTCAGCACGCCACTGGGCCCACACTTCCCTTGTTAAATCATTTCACGAAGGAAGCAAAGGGACGAATGTTTACCTTGAAATTGACTCGTTCTCAATCCTAACTTCCTATAAACCAGGTGGAGGCGACTGGTGAGGCTACAACACAAATTACCGGCTTTGGTGATTCTTCTTCTTCTTCTGTACGTGTTTGTGAGCGTCTTTGTGTGCAATAATGGAATCGAGCAATCGTGAAATAGCGTATGAGTTCCCTCCCCGCTCCAAGCATAATAGTTTTCCCGTCTTCATTCGAGTTTACAGGGATGGGAGCGTAGACAGGTTTGTGGGAACTGATATTGTTCCTCCATCGCTTCATCCAGTGGCTGGTGTTTGCTCCAAAGACATTGTAGCCATACCAGAAACCGGTGTCTCTGCCCGCCTCTATCTCCCCAATATCAACCCACTTCGGAAACTTCCACTTCTCGTGTACTTCCACGGTGGAGGCTTTTGCATCGAGACCCCCTTCTCTCCCATATACCACAGCTTCATCAATTCGTTGGTAGCTGAAGCTAATATTGTTGCCATATCAGTGCATTATAGAAGAGTCCCCGAGTACCCTCTTCCCATAGCCTATGATGACTCATGGGCGGTGCTCCAGTGGGTGGCTGCGCACGCCGAGTCGAGGGTAGATGATGATGCATCTGAGAGTTGGCTGAGAGACTATGTAGATTTTGACCGAGTGTTCTTGGGTGGGGATAGTGCGGGTGGGAACATCGCCCACAATTTAGCACTGCGATCTGGGGCTGAGGAACTGAATAATGGTGGGATTAAACTTCTTGGCATGGCTTTGATCGGTTCTTACTTATGGGGAAAGGAACGAATTGGTTCGGAGGTGATGTAACCGTTTTTGGTCACGTACCATTTTTTGGGATGTGTAAAATTTTTTGGCTAAGTACCTCGTGTTTGACCTGGTGGTGACGTGCCTTGGTGATGAGCTACT